GTTTCAGGTTTTTGTTTTTTGGTTTTTTTAAGCACACACAGGCTCAGATAAATTTCCACTGGCCAAGAATCGAAGGTGAACTGGGACATTTAGATAATCTCTTGTGTCCTTCTAATGATACTGTGAGAAGATGCTCTGTACTGTGTACTCTCATCTCTACTTTAGGCCTTCTCACAAAGCAGCATAGCAGACAGACCCTCCTTGTAATGCTCCCCAATGCTTGGGTGGACAAAACATGGCTGCCCATATGTTCCTGCTTAGAAAAATAAAATGAACCTCTGGTGAGTTGCACAACTGTCTTCTGATCTCAGTGGTGGCTCTGTACCTGGGAACCAGTGGTTCACATTAAATATCTGACATGATTACATTCACTTCCACTGAGAACAAGGCAAAAGAGAGGCTGTGCCAGACCAAATATGAGGCAGATGTTTGCCCTGGATGGAAATGGTCACTTACAGCTGAGATGACATTTTTCTCAAAAGAGATCTTATTTGTCTATGGAACCGCAAGGCATTTGGAGGTCTAGGGGGTCCAACCCAGGGTGCACCTTGCTGTTTGCTTGATGATACACTTGATATCATAGTGTGATTTATTTGGCTCCAAGGCATCATAGTCACCCAAGGAAGTACCCTGGATGACTGGAGTTGATATGCCCAATCTATGGTGTTGCTAGGAAGAAACACACAACCTTCTTTAAGTGTACTACTAATTTAATTCCATATTGAACTGAAATGACAGCTTCCCAGCATCCTTTGTATCTGACTACTCAGCAGCTTGATTAGTCCTTTAAATCCTCCCTTTCCTACCCCCAAGTTGGAATGAAGATGACAAGTTTGAAAGTCCTCTATATGAATACACAAATCATTCTCTTCTCTCCTTCAAGTCTCTTGATTTTCATATAGAAGACAACCTTGAATTTTGAAAAATAAGCACAAAGGTTCTACAGTGGCCTAGTCTGCATTAGTAATCAGTTTGGGTTATTTTTTGTCACTAACAATTACAAAGTAAACAATCATTTAATTTAGTAGGTCATTCCTCCAACTAATATTCCTTTCAAACAGGATTCCTTATGAACTTAATCCAAAAGGCTCTCAACCCTTCTGCATCCCATTAGCTATCATCTCCCTCAACTCAGAATGAACAGGTGTGAAGGATGACTTCCTCAGACAAACCTGACCATTACTCAGGAATTCCAGTCTGGTTCCAGACAGCTGGCTTTGAAGTAGGCAGTTTCTGGGCTTTGAGGCATCCCACTTTTCTTCATGCAATCTGGGGACACCACTTTAGTATAGAACCTCTTCTACAAGTAGCTTCACCTTTGAGGGACTCCTGAGAAGTCAGGATGAGTTTCCACATTTTGTAAGTAAAGATCAGGACCATGTTTCAAAATAATTCACTTTCATTCACTGAACAAAGACTCAAATAAACAAAATCCTAGATTTTTTTTGTCTCAGCAAATACCAATACTTTCATATTTTACTATGTCAAAGTAATGAAGATTGTAAGACCGACCCTTTAAGAGAAACACAACAGGATTGTGTTAAGACTAGGCTGCTAAGAGGGTTAAATAGGCAAGGTTACTAGTGATGTCCTAGTGCTTGTGGAGCACTATTCTTTCCTGTATGCAACAAGGAAAACCACATCATGGTATAAAAGCATCTTTTAGAAACTGGGTTACCAAAACTGCTAGCCCTGTAAGACATGGGAAGAAATTCTTTCCATGATTTCTCTCGATATTTTACCTACTTTAAGAGTAGGCAATGTATGATAGCTCATCCTGAAAGAAATTTAAACTAAAACAAACCATGTCCCTACTAAGCTGGTTCAGCAGCCTTCTACCTAGAAAATGACCTCTCTTTGCATGGCACTCAGCATTAAGACACATGAATTCCTAAACTTTTACAAGACAGAATTTTCTACCAGGTTATGTTCCATTACTTTGCTCCCTTTTCCTTATGTAGCAACTGATATTGCATGTATGCATCCATTCAACAGCTGAAGTTCTATCTAGGTCTTAAGACTTCTATGGAGCACGGCTGGCCTCATCAGGCAGAGTAGAAGTTCACAGTGCTAAAGGAGCAGGCAGCTCCAGTGTGTACTGTTTCCTTTGGTGCCTGAATTGCTTATAGGACTACAGAAGGTGGTACTGACTCTGCGGCTCTGGGGCCTTGATGGAGATGTTTGTATCACAGCAGCCATTCTACGAGCTTCGTTGCTATAATGGGCTCATCAGATACCCCAGTGATGGAGACTGGGCGAATGGTCTGATGACAGAAAGCAAAAATATCTCCCAGTATACCTAGGAAATAAGGATGTCTCAAGCAAGCAAATGCCTTTCTCACTTAGTATATACAGAATCGAATATTGACCCATCCACATCTTGATCAACAGTTGAGTACTTTTAGCTTTCATTAATTACATGGAGAATCCAAGAGTAAAAGAACAAATAGAGAATATAGTTTCTGTTTTAAACTCTCTGGGTGAGCTATTTGTCCCTCATGCAGAGAAACCTTGTATCTTGGGAAAATGTGAAAACAGAGAATCTGAAGGTAGGAAGTGCTGTGGGTCATCTGCAGACCTGCTAAGCAATTCAGGGAGCAACTAGAATCCTCTGGGGGGGGGGTGCTAGACTTCAGGAGAGGGGGTCTAGTGATGAAGAAACAAGAAGCTAGTGGAAAAAGGAGAAAGATGATGTACAGAATCTACAAAGTCATGTTGCAGGCTAAGCTACTCAGCACAAGCATACAGAGAACAAGAGCATGACTATATATATAAAGGCCTGTCCTCATCAACTTATTATGAATGAAAAGAGTGAAAATCAACCACAGCCATTATGAATTCTTTGAGGAGAACTGATGAAAACATAGGCTCCCAGAGAATGGGCAAAAGAGAAGGAAGGTACAAAGAGGAAACTATGATTATGAATATCATCAGCAACAAATTCTAATGGAGAATGCTGAATTTCTTCCCCTCCAAAGGAAACACAGAGAAATAGCAGATGATACAAGAAATTACTTGACAGAAGACCATACTAAGGAGATGACCAGACTGAGCGTGTAGGGCCTTTCCCATAAAATCTTGAAAGAGCAGTTTTAAAACAAACATAAGGAAATGGTGGAGAATATTGAAATTATATAGAAAACTTGATAACCAAGTCCCACAGTGTATGCTGAGAAGATTTGAATGATGAAGCTGTATTTTCATAAGACTATAAACATTCAAGAAACTCAGGAAACTAGAGTTAGAGATTCAGCAATGGAAAGAAGTGATCAAAAGAGCGGCACTTCCGACAGCTGCTCACTACTGCTTCCCATATGGCTACTACCTCAGCACTAGGAAAAGAACTTTTAGACAAAAGCTTTACAGAAATAGGGTTTCGTCTGGGATTGAAGAAAAAGCCAGTTGGTTAAAGTAACATTTTAAAAATAGTACTGTCTTTGACCACTAGAAGTCAGATGACGTGAAGCTTTGTAGTGCTTTCTGGAGAAGCTCTGATTTGGACAATCTTAGGGCAGTTCATTGTCCACATCGAAGGAATCCCCATAGTGTGTCCAGAAGTTCTCCAGTTTGCAGGTGAATCTGACAAAACCCTTTCCTGCTTCACCTTCTACTTCAGACTTTAGGCAGACATGATCCTATCTATTGGAACATAGCTGAATATAATTCCTGAAGAAAGTAAACAAAGTCAGGCTGGAAGAAAAGGTCCAAACCTCAGAAGTGGAACATGGCAACAAGACCTGGTCCATAGGAAGGTTGCTACAGTGGATGCTCGTTGATCAACACCAACCCACACACAAGGAGATGACTCATCTTTGATTCCTGGAGTTATCAAATTTCACAAAAGAAGGTGTGGTCAAAATGTCAGTTACCTAATGGTTTTTAAAAGTCAGATTTGGGGTTTGTTTGTTTGTTAGCTTGTTTTGTTTTTGGACTTTCCTATCTATCCTGAAAGAGCAGAAATACTAACTTATTTAAAAGGATATGTATTTTTAGTAACAAAAGTTCAGGTTGAAACAAAGCACCAGAATGATTTTCATCTTCTAGGTGTTGAAAATAGTACCAATGGGAAAGCAATTATTATAAGTATTAAAGTTTTTGTCCTAAAGATAGTTGACATTGGAAACTCAGCATTTACTTAAACATCTTACATTAAAATCTCTTTCCTCAAACTATAGTCTATAGCCTCTTCTGTTTCTTGCTGCCTTCTCTTCCCCAGATAACAGCAATATCCATGTTATCTTAAACCCTGTGGTGGACACGCCTCAGTCCATATCAGTTACCTTCTAGGTAGTGGGCTCACATGGTAGCCTCAAAAGTCAAGTGAGTATCGCCATGGTATCATCAGCAGTTTCCCAGTACCTTCTGCCCTCCATTTAATTAAAACAGAAGAACAAAACATGATTTGCCTTTGGTTTTAAACACTTCAATAACTCTTTTATAGAGATTCCCAGAGAAGGAACTAGACTTCTCCCCACCCTCACCCCCACCCTCACCCCCACCCCCACCATATTGAAATGCTCTCGGAAAACCCCTGTGCACACACATACACTTTTTGCAGTGCTGGGAATGGAACCCAGAGTCTGGTGAGCTGGAGGCAAGTACTCTAGTACTCTCCCACTGAGCTAAGGCCCCAGCCTGTGGATACGCTTCCTAATCCTTAGTCCAGGGGCAACATGAGTAGAACAGGCAAGGCTGTGACAAGAGGATGCAGCTGTGTAAGTCATCAGAGCCAGAGGCTCCACTGTCTGGTGCAATGCCAGCATCTGGCACCATTGGAATCCTGATCTGTTTCTTTTCTTCACTGTCATTTGTCTAACTTGTCCTTCCAACTTGATGTTTCTTGAGCCAGCTAGACTGACGCTATAGCATAGCGATGAAGCCCGTATCTGCCCCACCATGCTCAGATGCTACAGGAGGATGAAGAGAGACTATTAAAGCATGCTATTGTTTTGTTTAACTCTGAAACAGTGTACTACTACGTGAAAAAGTGAGAATAGGTCTGCATTTGTCTTGAATTTAGAGACATTTCAACTTTTCCATCTGAGTCTTAGGTTAAGTTTTGAGTGGTAAGATAGTTTTAGGCCCCATTGAAACAGAAGCATTAGTTTTAACATGGTCAGTGCAACACATCAAACACACTGGGGCATTTGGCCATCCTCACCCCTATGAGAGCCTCCCTGTTCCCTCAAGATTTACAAGTAAGTCATGCATTTTCCTGCAGTGGAAACACGAGGGGGGTTCCCCGGCTGGAAACCTTCTGCTCTCCCATTCCCAGGTCTCGCTCAAGCACTTCCTCAGAGCTGCTTTTTGTTCTCCTACCACACTCTAGACTTGTGGAGGCTGTGTAGGAGCTTGAGGAGCCATTCGCTGTCACTGTGCTATCTCCATAGGTCAAGGTGAGGTCACCTTCCGTCAGGATGAAATCAGAGTCATCTTCTCTCAGAGGCTCTTGATTCTGAAAAGGTACAACAAACAAAAGGGAAACCTGAGATTTTCCAGAGCTGTGGCCAACCGAACCCTAAATTCTTATATCAAAAAACCAAGGACTTGGGAGGCTGCAGAGATGCTTCAGAAGTTGAGAACACTTGCTGCTTTTACAGAGAACCCAGTTCAATTCCTAGCACCCAAATTAGGCAATTCACAGCTGCCTGTGATTCCAGTTCAAGGGAATCCAAAATCCCCTTCTGGCCACTGTGGGTACCTGCACACATTTGGTCATATACATCTACACAGATACCCAGACACACAAATACATATATGCATAAAAAATCTTTTTCTTGAAAAAAAGGATTTTATGAAACCTGTCTGCCTATGCCCTTGGTATGGTCACTATATAAAAACTAGAGTGTTTTTCAATCAAGGCAATGTTCCCTGAGCCAGGACTTAGAATACCAGAAGCAGCTTAGATTTCAGGTGCATGATCACTCAGGGGTTACTGTCTAAAAGAAGCAGGCAGGCCGGCTGCATTCTCCGCTTCCCCCACCCACAAAGAAATAATAGGCTCTGACTCTCTCCTATCTGAGCAGGTCTTTGAGGTGGGCCTACTGCCTGTTTTTATATGAACAAACCTTTCCTGTAGTCTGCAGTGGCAAGGGAAGACACAGTAAGTATATCCTCCTTGTTTTTCCTCTACTGTCTCCATAGCTTCAGCTGGATGACGTGAATAAATGAAGTGAGTGTGCACTTTACTGAGCCTCTATTAAATACCTGCTAGAAACCTTATATAAGCTCCCTACCTATGAAGGGCATGTCAGATTTTGAGTACTGTCTGCACTTTTTTATAGTTTATATTAATTGTACAAAATAACAGGTTTTATCATGACTATGACATGATGCTACAAGTATCGTACTTTCAAATTTTGTTTTGTATATAAAATTGTTATAAATATATTAGACTATATGTACAGGGTATATTTGGGACGCACATGAGTCACAGTTAAAGTGGAAATAATGGAAAATAAACACCTCAGAGCTCTCCAAGTAAATTCCACCAATTAAAAATATCCTATAGGTGATGGGTAGAAAACATAAAACAGCTGACAAATAGCCACAAGACCCACCCAGTCAGCAGCCCTCCCCTGGCACTAACTAGAGGAAGCCCCTTTATATTTCTCATTTTCAGATTCTTCAGTTGACAGTACTGAAAAGGTTTTGCTTTCACTCAACAGGAGGCCTTCACATATCTGGAAGGAGCTGAGATGCTGGGAAGAAGAACCTCAACCCAAATAAAGAGCAAAAGCAGCAAGGGCTGCTCTTCCCTTGGTGGTTCAAGATTGGATGAGTGTGTGGACCTCAGTGCCCAAACATTATTCCTAGACCAAAGTTTGAGTAGTCTCTTCAAGTGATGAGAAAAACACTTGAGGTACATGAATGAGTTTGTACATATCTTCATTCACCTGACTGAACCTTACTGACCTTAAACTGTCATAATTCTAGTCTGCATATCTCTAATCTCTAAGCAAGGGGACAATTAGTAAGCTTCAGATTACTGGAGGGTTTTTTTTTAATGGCTCAAGCTTTTGGTTTAAATGCCCCCAACACAGCATTTTTTATTTTTTCCCCAGGGCTAGGATGGAACCCAGGGTTTCATAACTACCAGGTAGTCATTCTTTCACTGAATTACATTCCAAAGGCCTATTTTCTTATAACTTGAAGTAGTCTATTCCAGGGGGTCACAAGAGAAGTTTTGCTTGTACAGGACAGAAGGAGCTGGGGATGCTGGAAGGCTCAGACATCTTTGAGACACAGCAGGTAAAAGCGTGAGGAAAAGACTGAGGCATAATTACATTCTTCCATGGCATAACCCACTCTCCCAAAGTGACAGCACAGCTTCTCTACAGGTACAAAGTTCTGACACCTGAGCCTATGCATCTGTGCTGCATGTATGTGTAGGTATGTGCGTATATGCATGTACCTGCACGTGGAGGCCAGTGGTCCATCTTGAGTATCTTCCTCAACTGCTCTCTACCTTACCTTTTGAGACAGGGTCTCTCATTGAACCTGGAGTCCACTTATTAATTAGGCTATTAATTAGGTTATGGATATGCACCACCATGCCCAGCTTTTGACGTGAGTGCTGGGGATCCAAACTCAGTTCCTCACGCTTATATGGCAAGCCTCTCTGTTACATTTTCAATGGTTGCCTTCCTTTAACAGGTATGAGGAAGAGCACGCACTGCACAGCAGCAATGGGTTTCAGATGCACCGTGACTTGGTAGATGTAAGCTTGGTTCTCAAAGGGAGCCTGTGGCATCTAAGAAACTGCTGCTTTCATCCTGGATCTTTGGGTCTTATCTTTTGGGTCTGGATCTTTTGGATCTTGCCCTTATCTACTATCCCAACTATGCTAGCTTTGGGATACATACCTCTTTCTATGAATGTGTGCTACCTTTCCTGACCCCACCGACCTATTTGAACTTCTTGAGGGCCTTTCTCCAACTCAGACCTTAGGGTAGCCTTCTGATTTCTCATCATTGGTTAAATCAACTGCAGATTATTGACTATACCTACACGTCTTAAAAGTCTCAGTTTTGTCAACTACTAATCACGAGGCTGTTGACAGCCTGAGTTATCCCTAAGATTTTACCCTCCTCACTATATTGCTGCAGCATTTGCTCCTTGGCAATGTGCAGAAAATGAAACAAGCCTCTGGCAGCCATGAGGCTGAATACAAATCTAAGAAGCTCTTTTCCCTCAGGGTAAGGACTCTATCATCTTGGGATGGTGGGAGAGAGATGGAGGAGGAGAAAGCTCTGTCTTCCTTTCTACTACTGCATTATAGAGAACTACTTTTTCTCTCTACCTATTTACCCTGCTAAGACATCCACAGCAGGAACATTCTTTTCTTAACTGTGATGACTCCATTTCTAGCACCAGAAAATGGTCAGACAGGACCCAACCAAACCAATATAAATAAACTACTTGCAAGGGAATCCTTAATTTGGTGTCCTACCTTGTGGTTTATGGATATCTTGATGAACCTTATTTAATGTTCATGACAGCTGGCACTAGTAGGTCCATGGTACAGATAAGAAAACTGGTTTCGTGGTATATTTTTCTTCAGTAGCCTGTGATAGCTTGAATTATAATCTGGTCACTTGGATTCCCAACCACAACTGCCCATATTTATAATCGTGTCAAAAAATTTTCCTGTTACTGTGACACACACACACACACACACGCCCCATTTTTGACTGTATTTGAAGAGCAAAATCGATAGATCTGGAGTTTGGGGTGTGGCATTTCTTCCTATGGAAGAGATTACCCTTTGAATAGCACTTACAGGCTTTACTTACATCATACACCTGGGGACTGGTCAGGCATCCAGCTAGCAAGCCACACCAAGCTGGGAGAGTGGTGGTGAGCGGTGGACCACTGTGGGTGAGAATGGGCTTCAAGTAACTTGAAAAGGGAAATTAAGGAAAAATGGCTGCAATGAAAAGAATACACAAAGCAGAATGCATTTTTAAAACCCAGAGGGTAATAAATTGTCTGGCATTCTACCCACAAAGCCTTCCACTCCCATTCTTTCAGTGCAACAGAGGAAATCCTTACAACCATAGGAAGAGAAGATGAAGATCGACCTCAGTGGTGTGTCTAAGTGCACATGCATAACTCTCAGGATAGTGATTTCTAATAGTTAGTTAAAGAAATGTCAAATTAATTAAGTCAAGCACAACAGTATATACCTGAAATCCCAGTACTTGGAAGGTTGGGGCAGGAAGATAATGATCTTAAAGCCCATATGACAACACTATGAGCTTCTCTCAAATAATAAAACTCCCAAACAAACAATCCAAACCAAGCAGGCAAGCAAACAAAAGAACACTGAGTCTGGTGGTAGTAGTGCACACTTTTAATCCTAGAACTTGATAGGCAGAGGCAGGTGAATCACTGTGAGTTTGAGGCTAGCCTGGTCTGTAGAGCTAGTTCCAGAACAGCCAGGGATGTTACACAAAGAACCTTGTCTCAAACAAACAAACAAATAAAACACAATGGATTCATTAGAGTACACTGCTTACTAATTTCTTTCCTCTAAGCAGGAGACTGAGGAATACTTCTAGTTGTGAACTATTTAACTCCTAAACAATGAGATAACTCCTTGTTAAAAGATGGAAACAAGGGCTTGGATGGAGCTCTTTGCAAACAGAACAAGTTGCTGTGTGATTTCTGGCTTTAAGAGTAGGCTTGGGGGCCTATACCTTCCCCAGGGACAGATCATGAGCTTGCCTGCCCCTCTGAAGACTTCACAATCTGAAGGTCTCCCAGAAGATCTGCTGCACTCAGGACAATAGGTAAAGGATCCACCTAAACAACCTCAGCATCTGGGACCCCATACGTAGGACTCCTCCCCTCTGCTTGAACTTCACCTCACCTCAGGCCTGCACCTGCCACCAGGGCAGATCATCATCATGTCTGCCCTTCTGAAGACCCCACAATCTGAAGGTCTCCCAGGAGATCTGCTGCACCCAGGACCACAGGTCTCCCAGGAGACCTGCAGCAGTACAAGGACACAGGAGGCAGAATCTAGTCGGGGACATCGAGGCCAGTAAACACCAGAGATAACCAGATGGCAAGAGGTAAGGGCAAGACCACAAGCAACAGAAGTTAATATACTTTGGCATCATTAGGACCCAGTTCTGCCACCACAGCAAGCCCTGGGTGCCCCAACCCACCTAAAAACCATGATGCTGACCTGAAATCCTATCTCATGAAGATAATAGAGTCCTTTAAGGAGGATATAAACAACTCAGTGAAATAAATACAGGAAAACATGGGTAAACAGGTAAAAGCCCTGAAAGAAGAAATAAATCCCTTAAACAAATACAGTAAAATACAATCACACAGCTGAAGGAATTAAACAAAGCAGTCCAAGACCTAAAAATGGAAGTAGAAACAATAAAGAAAACACAAATGGAGGCAACCTTGGAAATGGAAAACCTAGGAAAGAGGTCAGGAGCTACAAATACAAGCATCACCAACAGAATACAAGAGACAGAAGAGAGAATCTCAGGCATAGTAGATAGATTAGAAGATATTAACACAATAGTCAAAGAAAATACAAAGCATAAATAACTCCTAACCCAAGATATCCAGGAAATCCAGGACACAATGAAAAGACTAAACCTAAGAATAACAGGAAGAGATAAGAACAAAGATTCCCAGCTCAAAGGACCAGAAAAAGATCTTCAACAAAATCATAGAAAACTTCCCCAATCTAAAGAAAGAGATTGCCATAAAGGTACAAGAAGCCTATAGAACACCAAATAGATTGGACCAGAAAAGGAATTCCTCTCGTCACATAATAATCAAAACACTAAATACACAGAACAAAGAAAGAATATTAAAAGCTGTAAGGGAAAAGGGTCAAGTAACATATAAAGGCACACTTGTAATCAGAATTATACCAGACTTCTCAACAGAGACCCTAAAAGCCAGAAGAGCCTGAACAAAGGTCATGCAGACCCTAAAAGAATAAAAATGCCAGCCCAGGCTACTATACCCTGCAAAACTCTCAATCATCATAGAAGGAGAAACCAAAATATACCATGACAAAACCAAATGTAAACAATATCCACCAACCCAGCCCTACAGAGGATTCTAGAAGAAAAACTTCAACACAAAGAGGGTATCTATACCAAAGAAAAAACTAGAAATTAATCATCTCACAACAAAGCCAAAAGGAATGAATCACATACACATAATCCCACCTATAACAACAAACATTACAGGAACTAACAATCATCTGTCTTAAGTATCTCTCAATATTAATGGACTCAATTCCCCAATAAAAAGGCACAGGTTAACAGATTGGATACTTAAACATAATCCAGCATTTTGCTGCATACAGGAAGCACACATCAGTGACAAAGACAGACACTACCTCAGAGCAAAATGCTGGAAAAAAGTCTTCCAAGTAAATGGATCCAAGAAACAAGCAGGAGTTGCCATTCTAATAGTGAATAAAAAGTTATCAACAAAATGTTATCAAATGAAATGGGGAAGGACTCTTCATATTCATCAAAGGAAAAATCCACCAAGAAAAAGTCTCAGTTCTGAACATCTATGTCCCAAATGCAAGGGCACCCACATTCATTAAAAAAAAAAAACTTTACTAAAGCTCAAAACACAGATATATACATAACATTTCACCCTAAAACAAAAGACTCACTAATAAGTGGATATTAGCCAAAAAAGTACAGAATAGCTAGGATACAGTCCACAAAACTCAAGAAGGTTAACAAGCTGAAAGGCCCAAGTGAGGATGCTTGTTAACTTTCTTTCTTTTTTCTTTTTTTTTCTTTTTTTTAGCAAAAATAAAGAATATATTTATTCACAGAAATATTTAAAATAGGGGAAGTAGTATTGTTTTTAAAACTTCAGAAATGATATCTGCATTTTTCTTGCAGTGTGTGAACGGTTCTCCAACTTCTTTTTTTTAAAATAATTTATTTTTTTCAAATCGTAATTTATACTCATCCGCACAGGGGTTATAAAGACAAAAAGGCAGGACGTGGGGAAGAGCATGACACTGAGTTTTGTGGATTGTATCCTAGGTATTCTGTTAAATCCATGTGGTTCATAACCTTTATTAGTCTTACTGTGTCTCTGTTTAGTTTCTGTTTCAATGATCTGTCCATTGGTGAGAGTAGGGTGTTGAAGTCTCCTTTATTTTCATGCATGTGTGTCATTTTCCTTTGCTCTTATTTGTCCCTTTCCCCCATCTTTCCTATCCTACTCTTTCTTGCTGGTTCCCCACCTCCCCCAAATAGTCCCTGCTTCTGCTTTCATGTCACCTGTATTTTATTATTTTTGTCTCTGTTTAAAAAATCTCATTTCCTTTTAAAGGCTAGTTTAATTAAAATTTCACTCTAAGAAACTTGCAAATACAAAACATCACACACCAAAATAAATCAGACCCAAAGACTATGAATTAGAATGAACTTCTGTACAGTTAGAATGGCCATTCTGAAGCTATGGAGCTTCACACTGGATTTTACACTTTCACTGGAGAATATACTTTTATGCATCTATCTGCCATCAAAATGCAAAAAATAAAAAAAATCCATGGGAGTCCGAACTAGAGCCCATGGAGACTGAGTGACATGACACTGACATTTTTCTCTCAATGTGTCTCTGAATTTTTATATTTGCTAATTATTGAAGCATTTTCTTCAACTTTATTTTCCAAATCAATGATCTGTTCTTTACTCTACACAACTATACATTACACTTGGGTGAAGGGCATTATTTTCTGAAAAACTTGAGACAGGGTCTTACTTAGTTCAGGCTGGCCTTGAACTCCTGATTCTCTTGCCATAGGCAGGCACCACACATTACTGTTTTTTATTTCCAAGATTTTTTTCTTTTCTTCTTCAGCTGTTTCCTAATAACTGGACCTTATTTCATGACTAGAAAGAAATTCTCTCATTTCTTTCTAAAAATTCTATCACAAAATGTTTTAGGTGTTTCTTTTTTTTTTTTTCTACTAAGACAAGCTCTCACACCCTGAAGATTACAGGTCAGCCTCATTATTTAGGCTATGCTGGCTGGTAACTCATGGCAATCCTTCTGCCTCAGCCATTCAAGTGCTGAAATTAGGGGTTTACTACATCATCATCATCATCATCGTCATCAGGCCTAGCTAGACGCTTTTAAGAGTAAACATCTGCAATTGTTTTATTATTTCTGCATCCCTATTCCCTCGTGCATTTATTAAGTCTCTCAGTTCATAGGGCAGGATAGAGACTCCTACGGTATTAAAAAACAAAAACAGGGATGGCTACTCTGGGCACAAAAATCTTTGGTGTCTGTTTCTCTATTAACACCCCCTCCCTGTCAAGGGTTTCTACTTTCTCCAGATGTCTAAGGACTGAGGAAAAACTCATCGCTACTAGTTAATCTGTTAACAAGAAGAAACTGCGACAGCTGTTCCCAACAGTCTAAAGTAATCAGCTAAGCAAACTGGCTAAGGCTCACTTTTATTTTTGACTGTATTTTTTCTGCTATAATTCCTTCTATCTTTCTTTGGCTTTCCAAGTTACCAAAAATAATTCTTTTGTGATTTCTGAGGCCTTGGAAAAGAAGGAAGACTATGTAGACTCTGAGCCTTTCATCTTCAACTGAAAGTTTGCCCCATTTTAAGGCCTCTGGGGAAGGAGGCTCTGTAGACCTGTGGAAGTAATTCATGTTCAACTCAACTCTTATTTTTTGAGATGTGATCTCATGTTGCCTGGGTTGGTGTCTGTGACTAAATAAGAATGGCCCCATAGGCTCAAATATTTGAATGTTTTGTCCCCAGGTGGCAGAAATGTTTGGGAAGGATTAGGAGATGTAGCCTTGCTGAAGGAGCTATGTCACTGGTGGTGGGCTTTATGACTTCAAAAGCCCAAGCGAGTCCCAGTTAGCTCTTTCTCTCTCTCTGCCTCATGCTTGTGGATCAGATGCAAGCTCTCACCTACTGCTTCAGCTCCATGCCTGTCTGCATGCTGCCATGCTCCCACCACCATGGTCATGGGCTCTAACTAACCCTCTGAAATGTCCAATAAACTCTGGTCAATAAATTTTGGTCATGTTATCTTAACACGGCTATAAAAAAGTAACTAAGACACTCTCCAACTCGTTATATACCCCAGAAAGTTGCTATGGAGACAAGACTGGTCCTGAATTCATGTTCCTTCTGCTTAAGTGTCATGGTTACAGGTGGGCACTACCATATCATGCCTGCCCAAATTTTCTTCTCATAATACCAAAACTAAATTTTCTGGATTTGTGATGATGAGGAAGTAGGATGAATCATAGGTAGCTTCCTCATCTAAGCAGCTAAGCAGACTATGTCTGCTTTAGTTTCTGTTCCCTGAATTAAGAAGTAGAAACCCCAAATTCTCTAAATTTAAACTCGGATGGGACTTTAGAGCTTACTTCTGTTTCTCTCCAAAGAATCAATTATCACTTTACCATTTGCCCTTCCTCAGATACTCTTCAATATTCTCTGTCCTCTCCAAACCCAAGGAACAACATGCTTTCTGGATTACCATTTAGACAAAGTTCACATGACTTTAAAGAAATCCCTGGAAGTTCTGTTACAGATAATACAATATGGCAATTTGGACTAGCCTCTCTATTAAGAACAATGAGAAATCCTAGACAATAGAAAATGAAAGAAGGCAAAGGCCTTTGCTGGCAGCTTCTGAAAACAACCAAGGCAATGAAGAGGGCTGAAGTCCAGGAGGAGGACATCAAATATGTGAGCCTGACTCTTGTGGAGCCCAAGTTCCCCTTAAGCTTAGTAGAGCATCTGGCATCCTCAGATGAGACAGGCTGAGACTGATGGAAACTGGAGTTTTAAGGCTTACTGAGGAAAAAGGTGAACAATCCAAGTTTTAGGTTGGAACCCTAGATGAAAGTGCAGAGAAAACAAACTAGCCCTCATAGGAACTGGCTTCAAATCTCCTTTCTTGCTGGCTGGGTAAAGGTGACCTGGAATTGCTATTGCTTAGGTCTAGCTGTACAGCAGTACTAAACTAAAATCCTTAAATCATCTCTGAAGGATGACATCATACAGAGCATCTCAGATTATCTCTAGATGTGGTCCTTGCCCATGTTTGTCATTCAACTAAAGAAAACAAGCACATAGGAGATAAAGAATCTAGACTCTAAAGATAACTTAGGAAACTGGCTTTATGACTTTGAGACAGTCAACAATTTCTGAAGCAGGACACAAAAGATACTAACAAGAACAGGATTAATAAAACAGATTAAGAGTTTCTGTTCCTCAAAGATTTAATTTGGAAAGTGGATAGACAATGTATAAATTGGGAGATGCCATATTATCATATATAACCAGCAAAAGGTGCATATTCAGATACATAATGGACTCTTATCAATCAGTAAGAAAAATTCAGATAGCCCAATAGACAAATGGGCAAGAAATGTAAAGAAGCATTTCATAAAGAAAATAGCCAATGGCCAGTAATATGTGAAAAGAGTCCTCAATCCTGTGGACTATCACAGAAATAAAAATTAGGGCCACAATAAATTATACAATAAAAGTCAAAAGAGTAACAATAATAGCTGATGACGAATATGTGGAGCAACTAGAACTTTCAGACACTAGGAATGTATGAAATAGTATCAACACCTTAGAAAACTGTCTTCTAATATGAACCTACAAATGCCTTGTGGCGCAGCAATTTTCCTCCTAGTCTCACTGAAAACATACACACAGTATATCAAGGACACATATGGATAAGAATGTCCACAGAAGTTTTCTTCAAGAAGGCAATAATCCAATGTTCATCAATAACAGAATGATAAACTGTGGGGTAGGTATACAATGAAATACTATGCAGCAATAAAAACAAATGCACTAGAGCTAACCACAACATGGATGAACCATACAAATAAACCAGACATGAAAATAGGTACACAGTATAATCTCATATATACATATATATATATATATATATATATATATATATATGAACATTTTCAGTTACATATGCATTTATAATTTATGTTTGTGTACTTATATATAAATGAAAAACAAATAAAACCATTAAATGTTACTAAACTGAAAAACTGAAAAAAATTATTATGGCTATACTTGGGGAGAAAGAATAATATTGTTTTATGCCAGTTTTCATTTTTTTTTGACTGGTTTAATGTTAAATGGGTGTGGTTTTTTTTTTGATACAGGGTCTTTCTTATATAGCTCAGGTTGGCTTTGAACTCATTATGTAGGCAAGGCTAGACATTATCTTCCAGTTTTCCTGCCACCACTTTTTGAGTGCTGGGATTACAGGCTTATGCTTGGACAGTTGGCTCTTAGTGTGTATATTGACTGAGAAAACTTACACTTTGGGTATGTCTCCCTTCATCTTTTATACTTTGGGAGAAGACTGCTTTAACATTTTCAATGTCTTAAAATATTCACAATAAGCCATCTACCCATTTGGTCACTATATCAATTCAAAATATCATTCAGGTTTAACTATTTTTTTTAATTTGACTTGACAAGAATAGTGTATACCCTGCATTTGGCCCTATTATGCCAGGATAACATTAGATATAATTGGCTAAATTTCACCAATAAGAATAATCCTTACCACAAAGATGTCCCAAGACTCCCTTCCCTTCCAGACTACAAGGAAGATCACAGTATAGCTTTAACTAGTTTCTGTACAAAGATACAAAGCTTTTGAGAGCCACATGAGTTTGTCAGGCTATGGCTTAATTGTTCTCCTGAAATGTCCATATGCCTCTTGGCTAGAGAGATGTTTACCTTGACCATCTATGATTGAAAGATCAATGCATTTGTCCCAAGAGAAAACTGAGTATGCCTGCCCTGTGCACACCTTTCCTTATTCATCAGGAGTGCCACCCACTGACCATTCAACAAGTGGTTGCTGACACCAATGTCTCCTGAGCCCAGATGAATGCAAAAGGATACTTATGATCAAAGCTGTACCACAGCCTGAATATCCATGCACTTTCCTGCTTTGTCCGGCTTCCTCCAATAGACTCCAGGCCATCCTAGAACAAACCAGAAAATACTAATTAGGGAAAGAGGCACTGAGAGAAGGGGAAAAGGCTAGTTTTGAAACTGTAACTGTTGTGTTTTGCCAAACTTAAGATTAAACCCAGAGCCTTGCATAAACTAGGCCGTTGCTCTCAACATGGGTTCATACAACTACATCAACTACAACTTTCACAGAGCTAGAGCTCACAGTGGAGCACCATACACTACCACAGCCCCAAAGCTGCAGCTCTCAGTGGTAGAGAATTTATATAGGATGGACAAGGTCTTGAGTTCAATGTCTAGAACCACACTTGCAGAGATATAGTGAGAGGCAATATGCTAGCAGAAATCAGGCAAACCCAAAAGGAAAAAAATCAATTCCCAAAGTAAAAAGGCCTAGTTATATTTGTGGGTAGATGGAGACAATATTAGCATAAACTCCCTTTTGGCATTTTTAATTTCCCTCCAAGTACATCTCAGGAGTTAATTACCTTACAATGGTTTAGACCCTTGCAGAACAAAATTGGCATGGCCAATAGTAAAGAAAGCTTACAAAAAAATCAACTTTCCATGTTTTCCCAAAGTTGGCTTAGAGAAACGACAGTGCTGAGCTTCCTGATAAACTAGCCTAGGGGCTCTTTGTGGTCCTAGTCCAGGTTTCCAGGTAACAGGACTGCACATCTCTACTAGCTTTAGGAGCCAGTAGCCAGGAAAACAACAGCCAGGCTACAAATTATGGAATTTTTATCAACTATAAAGTAGCAAGTTCCTTGTTGTTCCTCTCAAACATCCTCGCCACTTAATTTTCAATATCTGTAAGATCACGCACTCATTAGAGGTTTAAGATGTCTTGTCTACACACGTACTTTATAAGCAGAACAACTGATGTAAAGATTAGATTGACTTCAGCAGTTTAAGGGTATTGTCAGAGGGTTCTATATTGCTGGATGACACGCTCTCCAAGTACAAGTAGTTGGTGAAACACACCTATTTTTTTATCACCATCCTTTTTAATACAACAGAAAGGGGGAAGTGCGCAAAGGAGGCACAATCAGCAATATATACTAAAACTGCAACCAAAACTACAAGCAATGCTGAGTCACAGGGAGAGTCATTCCGTAGTAGTAACAAAGGTAGTCAGGGATATTAGAGAAGATGAATATATAGGATAGTCTTCTATATGATATGAGCAAGACTATTTAAATTTAAACCATCAAAGATCATTTTAAAAAATAGTTGCCATGAGATTTGAGGACTACATACTGATGGATATAGAATTGGACTAAATACACCCTTCTGTAGTTGAGACACTAATACAGACCAATTTTATTTTAAAGTTTTATAAATCCAAGTGGGAGAAAAAGGACAGTAAAAAGGCTTCATTTTTGATAACAATTGTTCCTCTTAGTAACTGCTAACTAATGGCAATGCTAGAAAGATTTTTAAATGCTACATGACTGAGTGGAAAGTATAATACTCTTGGGGGGAAATACTGTTTCTTTGGAAGTTATTTAAAAGGATTCTCTTTTTCCCTCCCTCTGTCTCCTAGTGTGTGTGTGTGTGTGTGTGTGTGTGTGTGTGTGTGTGTGTGTGTTTGTGTGTCCACGCACGCTGGTACCTATGGATCCTCTGTAGCTGCAGCTACACATGACACATGGATACCCAGAACCGAAGTAGAATCTGTAGAACAGCGAGCGTTCTTGTCTGCTAAGCCATCTCTCCATTCCCACAAATTTTTACTTTTACTTAGGAAAATGATGCACATCATCAGGGACACTATAAAGCTTAAACTTTTTCCATTTGTATCTTCTTTTTATCTAAGAATATTTTATATGACCCTAGGTACATATAAAATCAAATACTTACTAATAATAAATCATAAACAGACTTATCTTAAAACAGTTCTTTGACATACACATAATTTACCATTTCTAATACTAAAGATGAAATGAATTTTCACACAAATGAATGGATGTGCTTATTTTAATATAAATCTTGGCTGAATATTTGATACTACAGGACACAGAGCATCTTCAACATTTTTCAGATAAGTATTTTAATTTTATAATTCTTAATGTAGGGATGAATTTCACGTAAACAGATAGCACAAAATAGAAAAGTACATTAGATCCATTTCAGAAATTGCTGGAAATTTTATCTAATCCTAAGTCAAATTTCATCTATTTTTTCCACACAAAAACTCAAAATGGAAGAAAACTGAGCCACAAATCAAAAGAGTAAATTAAGAAAAAATCCAAAGTGCTAACTTTTTAAAGTTTAGTAGTTTCTAGGTCCAAAGAGATGGTGCCAGAGGCATGATTAAGGACAGGAAGAACTTTGCTCTACATATAGTGGATTTGAGGAAATCAGGGCAGGTTTCAAACACTTTAGTGCTCAAAAGTCATGAGAGCCTTTCCTGTGGACTTGAAAATACACGGGGCTGACGGGGTAGCCACTGTAGAGACAGGTGGGGCTTCCTTCCCCTGTACTTCTGTCGCCATTCCCTTCCGTACTTTCCCACCAGCACGGTGCATATCACGTCTTTAGCTCAGGCCACTTCCAGAGCCTAGCATACTCCTTCCTTCCTCTTACTCTATTACTCGCATAACTCTTCCTGGTCAACTCCTAATGGTTTTTCAAGTCTCTACAAGTTTGGCTTCTCTGAGAAATGTTTAATGGGCACTCCAAGAAGTGTACATGTGAACACCAATGCCTCCCTCAAAGGATGCTGAATTGTGACTGTGTTGTTCTTTTGCTTTGTGAGCCTAGACAAATTACCTCACCTTTCTGTGCTTCCGTGAGCACATTAAATAGAAAATATTAATTACTACCTACCTTGTAGGATCATTATGCGGTTGTGACACTGCTATCACACACACACACACAGACACACACACATACACATATATTTGGTTTTTCCCACTCCATGACACAAAACTCCTAAAACTCTTGTAGTTTCCTAAACAAAAAAGATTATTATTTTGTTATTTATATTAAGTAGGGTTCAAGTATGCCTGAGTTTATGTTATCAAGATCATTTTTAGAATCTGAGAACTGGTCACCAGAGGAACCAATTATGTGACTAAGAATCAACATTTAGTTCTAACCCCAACCTCCAAGAAGGGAAAGAGGAGTGGGGATTTAGTCAGTCACTTATAGCCAGTAACGTAACCAACCATGTCTGTGTGATGGTACTTCAAACAAACAAAAACCCTTTAATTGATGGGATCTATGGAACTTTGAGTGCTGGTGAGGCTCTAGAAGAGTGATACCAGCAAAGGACATGGCAGCTCCAGATAGCCCTTCTGATCTGTCTTATTCATTTATTTATTCCATTTGATTATTCATAAGTTGTATGGTTTACAGTAAACTAGTGACGGTGAGCAGAGTGCCTTCCTGACCTCTGATCAAATCAGAGAGCCTGAGGAGGAGGTTTTGGGAGCTCCCATTTTATTTCCAGTCACTCAGAAATACGGGTCACAATTTGGGACTTGTAACTGGCACCTGAAATGGAATTCACATGTCCATTAGGATCATTATCTGGCATTTCTCCAGGGTACCTAAAAGGACTTTGAAAAAAAAAAAGCAGGCATCTGACAGGCCTGAGGACCAGGAGTTCTCAGGTCTTCTGGCCCTCAGCTTCCGGCCCACCTAAGCTACCTGATCTCCTTTCTCAAATCTGGACCTTGAAACTTCTGATTCTCCTGGGGCTGACAGGCTTGCATGCTGTCTTCCCGGTTGTGGAGGTATTGAGGATTAAACCTACTTCCCTTGCTGTACTAAGCCAGCACTCCACCCACCCAGTTTAGTGTCCACTCTCAATGGGAGTACTGGTTAATATGGAGAAAAAAAGCAAATACATGTTTTGCATTCAAAGTACTCTAAGTATAGAGTTGTAAAAAATGGAGATTAGTGGGTCTTCTTTTTCTTTTTAGAGGCACACATGATTTTAAGGAACCGAAAACAGGGCTGGGTATAGTGGTACATGACTTTAATCTAGGTGCTGAGGAGGCAGAGGCAGGCAGATCTCTGACTTTGATGCTAGCCATCCAGAACTAGTGAGTTCCAGGCATCAAGGACGACATAGTGAGACCTTATCTAGAAAAAGACAAACAAAAACAAAAACAACCAAACAACAATAAAAGAACCTAAGACAGTATCTGATAGGTGATACGTACTCAATAAATTCTGTCCCATTATCATTTTTAGACATGTGATTTTTTTGTGCTGATTAAGTATTTATAAAATATTTAGCACAGTGCGGGATATAGAAAGTTTATTTCTAAAGGGTGAATACGTAATTTTAAGCACATCCTTCTTGGGGAACATATCTAGTCATTATCATTGGGCTATATCATATGGCTTCTTACACTAGGGATTCTTAATCTTTTAACTCTGTTTATTATTATTTTAAAGCTCTTAACAAGAGTATCTTTTTATACATGTATTAAGTGTTTACTAAGTACCAAGCATCATGCATGATTCGAGACACACAAAGAAAACAATGTCTTAGCATCTATCTCTTTTCACAGAAGAGTAAGCAATTACACACACACACACACACACACACACACACACACACAAATGATGGAAGAGAGGGGAAAATGTCATGAAGAAAGCCGATTTAATAACTGAATGACAAGCAGTACTGTTTTGAGATCATTTTTTTCTAGAACTAATGTGTTCACAGAATTATATTTTACTTCATTCTTTTGTAATGCTCAACATTTAAGCTGCTCAGTGGGAACAGCTTACTGTTCCCTCAGGATGGACACTGGCAGTGGAACAGTGCCTATTCATACTCTTCTACATCTAAATCCCCGAGTCTAAAGGTGTATTACACACCAGGCAAAGGGACTTTGAGGAAGGAGCTGAGGCTATCCACATGGTTAAGGGCAATCACAGGAGCCCATTTTGGACAACGAATGTGAAAACCAGAAAGATATGGACAAGGGTGGCAAGGGTTTGCCTCACTATGGCTGTGTGGAAGATGGAAGAGGGGCATTAGCCAGGA